TGCCTTTCTCCAGCTCTTGGAACAACAGGCTGGGCTTCAGATCCCTGAATGCAACAGCAGAAACATGTAAAGGACACTCACAAGGCAGTCCATCCTGACATAGGAGGCTGGCATGTTAAACGTATCAGCTGTCTGTTTCAGAGTTTGTACTTACTTTCGTAGCCAGTGGTCATCAGGGGTGAACCTTCGCCTGCAGTCCCGTTCATAAAGCACCATCAGCCAGCCGTGAACACTGTGAAACAGCTCCAGCTTCTCTCCCTTCGCATTTTCTAGTTCACAAAACAGTTTTTCTCTATACAAACGTGTCCTTTCCAACTGCTGCCATTGTATGAATTTTCAAGGTTCATTGAGGTCACAAACTCACCTAAGATGCCATCCCATATCATCTTGTACACAAACGTGTTCAGAAATGAGGAGATAGTAATCAGTTCCTCGATCTTGAAGGATGTTTGTTCTTCATAGACTTCAATGTCATCCAGAATTCTGTAACAAATTTAAATGTGTTAAAATGTTGCTGCTACATTGGCAATCTAAGACATGACACAATAAAAAATCTGTGATTTACGTGATGAGGTGGCGTGAGCAGTCACAGAAGAGCATGAGCATAGCCAGGAGCTGCTTAGACTCATCAGTGTCATTGTTCAGACACTCCATAAAGAGTTTGAGGCCTCCCTGAGGACCAAGCTCACAGATGAAGGCCCAGAGTTTAGGCAAAAGGTCATCAAGATGTGTCAGACCTGCAGAAACACAGAAAGAGAAAGGACATATTCTGTGATGTTATCAGAATACTGTAATTGAATTATATTGTCAGATAAAATGTCAGATTCTGGTACTGACCAGTGAGTATCTGGAGACGTATTTGTGTCAGCGTAGACAGAGCAGTCTGGTAGAGCACACAGATGCTGCACACTTTCTGAACTTCAGCCGAGTCAACTCGCTTCCCTCCGACTGGTTTCAGGATGTTTCGTACAGAAGCTGACTTCTGAAATGCCCGCTTGAAGAGGTCTGTAAAAACATAGAAGCATCACATGAGAGATGTAAAAACACCTTCAAACCTTTTATCAAATCCACAGATTGTACTGATGTGAAAGCATTGAGCAGGTTTACATTCATAACTTACTTTTAACTGGTAGATTGTTTTGTGATGTGCTCGGCTGAGGGGGCGGAGGAGTTGGCTCCTGACTCTCCAGCTTTTTGGAGAGGACGTCACTGAAGAGTGTTCGAATAACAGAGACACCCCACAGGTGCTGAAGCTGCTTAGTGACCAGTGGCATTGACTCATTTAGACTACAGGGAACAGGAAGCAGAAGGAAGACAAAGTCAAGTATACTGACTGGCATTACTTCTTGAGAACAGGAAAATAAATGTTGCACACTCAGGCTACATATGCATTTCTCTTTTGCTTAGATGATGTTTCGGCCCTCAGGCCTTCCCCAAGATCAACACTCACATGATTGCTCTCAAAGAATCCCTGAGGGCTGACACTTCTTTTCCTGCTCTCAAAGTCTATCAATACACCTCTGCTGGTTGTTTTTTTTTTACAAAGGGAAAGTGAAAGTACTCAGATACCTCGCTTATTAAACAGTCTACATGGGTAAGACATTTCAAACTTGATCAGAAGAGACCAATCAACCCTTGAGCCAAGAACTGAAATGTTTAGTTCACATATAAAGAGCCTGGGAACCTATTTTCTGTTCAGTTTAAAGATTAATATTAACTTGTTGAATAATTCAAGCAAACAAAGTATTTGACTGACCCGTAGTCTACTGTCTGAGAGAACCAGCCCAGGACTGGGTGCCAGTGCGTCAGGTTGGACTTCTTCTGCGACACATATCTCTGGCAATAGGACAGCATGTCTGTCAGGTCTTTCACAAAATGGTTGGCCTCCTCTTCTAGGACTTTCTCATTTAGACAGCCCAGTTGAATCAGGTTGCCTAATGAGAAACATGCAGGTACAGGATGAAAAATAACAATCCACGGGGCACAATTTTTTTTTTAAATTTGTAAACAAGATTTCATTGATTTAAAGTGCAAGCCCTTATTTATCTAAAATACTGTACCAAGTAAGCAGAGTGTGTGGCTGCCCTCGAGACACACACAGATGTCCAAACACTGTTCTTCCCGACTGAGAAACAGAATAAACTTCCGCAGCAGGTCATGCGTCTGGATGGATGTCATGCACTGTTGAGACAGAGCAGTTATAAAAACCCTCTCTCTTATGTTTCAAATTAAAATATACAGTACTATAAACAACACGGTGCTTTTACCTCTGGAGTAAGCACATTGAGGTGGGATATGATGGCTGGAACTGACATGATGTGAATGAGGAATGATCTTAGCAAGTTCTCTGAGAAGTGAGCAGCAATGACTGGCCTGAAAAATAATAGATTTAGTTAAAAAGGTAGCCCAAAAATTAAACGACAAAACAATTAGGCAAATTGCAACAGACACAACAGAACTGGAATTTGCATGTCCTCTCTACTTAATGAAAACTACAACACTAACTTACCGTAATGACAAAGTGAAAATGGCTGTCAGTGTGCCTTTGGAGAGAGATGGTTTAGAACGAGCCAAGCCATTGGTCAGCAAGATCTAATCAAGAAAAGCTGACATGAATGACACTGTAGAAGAAAATAGGCGAGGCTACACCTGAATCTCTTGAAACTGAACATTTATGAGCTGTAATACTGAACCTGCAGCATTGAATAGAATCCCTTTTGATTGAGATGGCCCATGATGTTTTCACAAAACCTCGTCAAAGCAGGTCTGAGAGTCTCACCTTAGAAATTAAGGGAAAAATATTATGATTCATTTTGCAGAAAGCATGCCTGACAATAACAAAAGATGTGTTTACCAAAAACAATCTCTTCTTGACTTAAGCCTTACCCTTCCCTCTGCATATCCTCCATGTTGACGTGTCTGTGAAGGTCACCAGCATGGTGAGGTACAACGTTACCAACTTGTTGTCCTGAAGTATGTCAGGCTGAAAAATCGCAAAACAGTTATATGTAGAGCTACAGTGAAAACATAAACATCCAAACACATTTTCCAGCTTTAGATTAAGACAAACCTTTAAATTTTTCAGTAGTTGACAGCAGGTCCACAACACATCCTTTATCTGTTTGAGCCAGGGAATAGTGAGGTCTTTGGAAAGAGCCAAGGAAACATACCAGACCTAGGGATCAAACGTCAGAACAACCACTAAGACAAAAATCACATTAAAAAAATGTTTGATAAGTGGAGGGTAAATGCATATGCACACTCACTTTATGTTCATTTTCAACCTCCATGCTGGCCAGGATAGCACGACAGAGCTTCTCAAACCTCTGATATACAAAATTACAGTCATTTGAGTCACACAGTCTTAACACGACGACTGTTGTGTTTCCAGTCATGTCAAAAGTCTCCACACAGGTAATTGTGAAGAGAAAATAAACTAACTTGCGCTAAATATGTGTTAGTGAATGTCACTCACCATTTTATCTTCTGGCCGGTATATGAATAGTAATTTCCGAGCAATTTTGAAAATTGAAAGTGCATTTCTTTTTGATGTCCCCGTTTCAGCAGCTTGAAAATAGTCATCAACCTCTTTCCTGGTGAGACAAAGGAGCAAAATACTGAGCAAAATGATGGCATGAACACGAAACTGAGTAATAGCTACTTCTAAAATGTACTCTTGATGTTAGTGGTAAACATTATGAACTTAAAGCTGTTCAAACCCATGTTGACTAGCATAATCCAAGGAGGTTCAGTAGAAAGAAACTGGACTTCTCTTTTAGGTTCTTGAAGACGATGACTAGTATAATGAGTATATGTGCAATAAATAAAATTGGACATCACCTTATCTGCTTCTGTAGTCTGCAACGACAGAGAAACCTCCTGACCAGGGCTTGGATGTTGATTGCTGCTCTCTCCTTCTCCTTCTGTCCCTTCCTCTCCTCCCTGGCCTGCCTGGCTTTGTCCAGGAACTCGGACTTGGAGCTTTGAGGTACACTAAACATTGTGCCCCCTAGAAAAGAAGCACGCAAACCACTTGGCTGCTATATTGCAAAACTGTACAATGATAAGCGGAACGTAAGGTTTGATAACATTTTGGCAGCGGCTTCACAGCAAACATCCGCCGTTTGTGAACATCGTAACTGTGATAGCACGGCATCCTGACGACTGCATTGTTTTGAGGAAGCATAACAGTGAACTTACCTGCGATACCGAAGATAAGAAGCTTTTCTCTGGCCTTTAGGCTCACCTGCCGCTATACCTCCTCAGCCATTTGGTTGTCCTTGGGATCCAAGCAGGTGGAAAGCCAAATGAAACAAAAAGACTAACTTGCCATCTCTGGAGCAACGAGCGATACAGTAAAGATGGAGCTGGGATAGTTAGCATACAGGGCTAGTTCGCTGCTTGTCGGCTTCAAACTGACTCAGAGAGATTTTATTTCAGATTCATTTAGCAATATTGAGCATCACTGCGAGGTTAGGTTTGATCCTGTGTCAATGACAGTGGCGCAAATCCAGGGAACATACCGTTTCGAAATGTAAACAATGAGAGGAGATCCGTACATTGACTGCAGCCATTAATCCCCTGTGTCGCATTAAATGGTTCCGGGTAGTATTTGTCTTCGCGTATAAACCGCGATATGAGAGTACTTATCGAGAGAAGGTCGGGGATGTGGCAAACTATCTTTGTTCGTGTTGCAGCAACAGCGACTTCGTATTTGTGGTGTTGAATAAAGCTTTCATTGAATGTGTTGGATGGGTGGCGGGGGGGACTGTTATCACTGTTACTCCTTCAACGGCGGAAACGTGCAGGCTCAAGTAATTAAAGAATATTTAGTTAATGAGTAAGTTAAAAGCAATAGGACATAAAGTTAGTTAAAGCAAAACACTGTTTTGTTACTTATTTCTCATCAACTACTTATTCGACACTTAACAAATCAATGTTAGCGGTCCCTTTAAACGGAGTTAGCGACGGTTGACGTCATTTTTGTAACTGCGCAGCGGTGGACCGGAAGGAAGTGGGTGTTAGCTGACTGACGTTAGCGAGCTACAGTTCCGAAGTCTGCTGTTGGTTCTATGGTAGGTAAACTAATGTTGTTGGTTTTGTTTAATCTAAAGCCAGTTACAAAGTCTAACGTTGTATACAGAACGATGTTTTAGTATTTTGATAAACACATAATATCATCTTTTTCCTAACATGTAACAATATCGATAACTTTAGTAGAAGCTAACTAGTTAGCTAGCTCATTAGCCGTGGTGGTTAAAATCTAATCATTTCTTACTGATTCAGGGATATGGTGTCGGTGAAAAGAGTGACCGTCTGCCAGAAACCGATTGGGAGTCATTATCTTTATAGCTCTGCGTTACTTTACCTGCTTTGTGCGCTAGATCATAGTGAATCCCTTTTTTACCAGCCGAAATAGCTTTAAAGGAGCAGTTTAGCTCATACAATTTAGTTTTCCCCTTCCTAAAAGTGATTACAGCCCCCACATTGTGACTAAAATTATATTAATGCATCACAATGACTTGATCTTATTCATGAGAGTCATAAGGGCGTATTGGAAATGTATATGAATTACAACTGGCTTTATCTGTATCAGTCATAACTCAAAGGTTTGTCTTTGTGAAATTTAAGCGTTTTTGTCAACTGAATAATCGTGACCAAAAAATGTTATCGGCGTATTCAGGCATGACATATAGAATGACTATAAGCAATGTAATAGTAGTATTTCCACTGTTTAGGCTCTATGCCTTTGGTAATGTCTAATATCTTTGTCTAGATTGTAGTTAACATGATCTAAGAATGGGGTTTATACATAAGATAAAAACTTCTCTCTTTTCCAATTATGCCGTGGGCTAAAATCTTAACATATAGCCCCTATGAATGAGTTTTGGTCATTTTGACACTTTAATAACATGTAATGTCCAAAGCAGGGGCTGCAATCACGTTTTGCCAAGTAGAAAACTGCAAGATATGAGTTGAATTGGTCCTTTGAAGCAATTTTTACCACTGGCAAAAAAACAGGATTGATCATACTCTGGTACACAGAGCACATGAAGTATTTACAGACTCATGAGGATAAATGCTCCTATGGACAACAGTCCCTTTTTGGCACAGTCCCCGCCCAATGTTTTATGTTTCTTATGTTTAAAGAAAAGCCCCGAACACTCAAGCAAACATAAAACACTTGTTATGACTGGTTTCAAAAATCAGTGGTAATCTCGTAGCAAAAGTCTGTAGTCCTTGAATTGTCTCTGTCCTGGTCCAGTTTTTTTCAGAACTTTATCGCAGCAATCAGAACAGAAAAACTAAAGAAATAATGCCTTTAATTGTGCTCTTTATACAATAGACTCCAAGATTTCTGTAGTTCCATTAAGAAAAATATACTTTTACTATGTCTAGCAACCATAATTACCTGCACCCTTTTAAAAGTGAACATGAACAATATTAAATAAGTAAAATGTAGGTAATCCACAGAGATCTAGGTTTCTAGTTGTGTATGTTTTATCTTGTGTTTTTACAGGAAGAGATGTCAGGAGAGAGTGTGGTGAGCTCGGCAGTGCCGGCAGCTACAACCCGGACTACATCCTTCAAAGGCTCCAGCCCAAGTTCTAAATATGTGAAGTTAAATGTGGGTGGAGCTCTGTACTACACTACAATGCAAACACTAACCAAACAGGACACAATGCTCAAAGCCATGTTCAGTGGCCGGATGGAGGTCCTCACAGACAGTGAAGGTGAGCCGTTGGTGAAAATGGTAAAATGATATCCATTTGCCTCAGTCTGTTGCTTACTGATGTTTCACCATTTCATCTGCATAGGTTGGATTTTGATTGATCGCTGTGGGAAGCATTTTGGAACCATCCTTAACTACCTAAGAGACGGGGCTGTTCCGCTTCCAGACAGCCGGCGGGAAACTGAGGAGCTGCTTGCTGAGGCCAAGTATTACCTTGTCCAAGGTCTAGCTGACGAATGTACAGCTGCCTTGCAGGTACCATTTTCATTTGATTTTTTTTGAATAATTTCTGAAATAGTCTAACATTGCACCAAAAATAAGAGTTTTGAAATAAATTTTAGAAGCCTATGCTGTACATCAAACCAGTTTTCTTCTGTTACGTTTTTCCTTTTTATCATGCTGTATCTCCCAGCCTTCTGTTCATTATAGATGTTTTTGTTCATTTGTTTGTTCTCTTTTAAAGATATCTAAGAATTATATTTTAATAGATAGAATGTGATATATTTAGTGAAGAGGGACGTAAAATCTGTGCAAAAAATTATTTAAAGGAGCCTGATCAAAACATCTCAGCATTTATTAGAGACAGTTGGTAAATAAAACAATGAACCTTAGTAAGTATTGGGGTGGGGCTTACACATCTACCATCATTGCTTTTTTCATACAAACAGAATGGCATCCCTCTGCTTGTTATATACTGCACATTATCTGCAGTTTTACAAATGAAAGTTTTTAATGGAAAAATATCTTTTCTTCCAGAACAAAGAAACTTATGAACCCCTTTGTAAAGTGCCTCTCATGACATCATCTAAGGAAGAGCAGAGGCTCATTGCAACCTCGAATAAGGTATGTTTTTTATGTAATGTGGGATCATTTCTAGAGTTTAGAACAAAGACAAGTTTGTCAGTTAAATGTGTCTTTGTTGTGTTTGCAGCCTACTGTCAAACTGCTGTATAACAGAAGCAACAACAAATATTCATATACCAGGTGAGTCCTCCTCACCTCGTAACACCATCAAACGTATCTTAGTAAAAAAGGAACATAATGTGGAGAAACTATGGAAATTGTTTTAGTAAATGACCTTTCTGTAACCCCTGTCTTCCCCCCAGCAACTCTGATGACAACATGCTGAAAAACATTGAGCTGTTTGACAAGCTGTCGTTGCGGTTCAATGGTCGGGTGCTCTTCATCAAAGATGTGATTGGAGATGAGATCTGTTGTTGGTCATTTTATGGCCAGGGACGTAAGATTGCTGAAGTGTGTTGCACTTCCATTGTTTATGCCACAGAAAAGAAGCAGACAAAGGTAAATGTGCATTTGGTAGATGTCCCCACTGTGAAGCAGTTTGTGCTTCTATAAGCATAGAGCTACAGTATGTGGTTTGTCTCTCCATCACTTGTGTAACACTTTACTTTTCTCTTAGGTTGAGTTCCCTGAAGCCCGAATCTATGAGGAGACCCTCAACATCCTTCTGTATGAGTCCCATGATGGTAGAGGTCCAGACAATGCCCTGCTGGAAGCCACAGGGGGCGCTGCAGGACGATCTAATCATCTGGATGAGGATGAGGAGCGAGAACGAATCGAGCGAGTTCGTAGGATTCATATCAAACGACCTGATGACCGCACACATCACCACCAGTGACCTCTCTCTCTCCTTTGACCCGTCAGCCTGTGTCTCTGACCCTGGACAGTCTTAGCACCACGCTTGTGCCTTACAACACCCAGCGCCTCTCTCTTTCACTTCCCCTCTTATTTTACCAGCTTTCTCCCGGAGACTACTATGAGATGACTGTCATACAACAGTGTGTAGTGGTGAAGTGGTTGTGTGTGTGTTTTTGTGTCCACTTGTCTGTGTTGAGTGGTCAGACTGTAGTGTGTCATTCTGTTTGTTCGCCATGATAACTTCTATCACTGTTTTCTGCTACCGTGCAGAAGCTCGTAGACTTGGATGTTTGCATTCAGCACTGCAGGTCGACACAATTTCAACAGAGTTTGTGTGGGGGGGGAATAGTGTTGTCAGTATAAACCTGTTAATGGAGGTCCTAACTGCATTAATTATTGGAGGTCCTAACTACATTACATCCAAGAGAGCAAGAATTATATCATGTAAGCAGCTAAAAAAAACAATGTATATAATTTAGTCTATCTTTGCCATGGTTCTGACGGGTCCACTGTAAGGTCATCGGTGGATGAACCAGGTGTTGGTCACAATTGTGCCACATGGTGGCACTGTTTTATTCTTAGAAAATGTTACCAAGGCTATTCTATAGCCTGCACATAATAGCAATTAAACCTTTTTGAAATTTGATTATTTTTTTTATACTGTTAAGATATCACAGGTAGATGCAACATTTCACTTTAATGCTTCTGCCATATTTAGTTTTTAACATTGACGCTCTTTCCCTTCACTCCACTAAGGAAATCATTAATATCAGTGGAGGGAACTTGAGCTGTGACCTGAGGTGTTAAATGTACTGGGCTGATTGAATGATGGATGCTGAGGTTGAAGTGAATGACTGTAACCGGAGATCTCCCTGGCAGGAAGAGAACCCTGTCTACAAGCTTTTAACAGGGAGAGAAATTAGACCTGTCCTTCATCGCTGCATTCATCAGAGAATGTACTGTTTGCACACTATAGGTTTGAGTTGATATATGTCTAACAATCACAGTACTTGTAGGTCTGTTGTACAGAAGTGAACATAAATGTATGTTTTATATTTATACATACTTTATCACAAATAAATTTCTACAAACATTCCTTTGTTCTGTTTTTATTTCGCATATTCCCATCATCTGTGAACATACAAAATTATCATACATATGGCTTCATTGTTCAGAAATCAGAATTACACATTGATTAAAGCAGTTTGAGTAATGTTGAGTTTGTTGAAATGTTAGCCTTTGCTGTGAATGAAATGCTTAAAACACCTATGACAAACCCTTGCCGAGGCACAGAAAGACAAACCAGCATCTTGTTGCAGTTTAATATTCTGCGGAGGAAAAGTACTTTTGATTATTATGTGTGGGTGACAAATGTGTTGCTGTCTAATAAACAAGCTCATCCAGGGTTTCTCAAGTGCATCTATTTATGGTCAGGTGAGGCGACCTGGAGGAGTGTTGATCCTCTCCTTAGGGGTCTCCTGATGAAATATGCAGGGGCTTCTTGTGTGTCTCCTCTCCTGCCCCACACGTTACCGTGTCCTTGCACGGGTGGCAACCTGCAGAGACATTCATGTTGTGTCTCTTTGTTGGCGGATGAAGTTTAGAGCAGAATTTGAAACAGCACATTTGTCCATACAGTTTAATAACACGACTCAACTCACCACCATGAGGTGTCCGTTCTTGGCCTTGTATACCATTGGCTCCTGCCCAGTGCCGAAGTCCACTGCGCTCTCTTTCCCTGCCTGGATTTCAATCTTGATACTAAAAATGAAGAGAGAGATCTTTTCTTTTTGATCAATGCACTTATTTTGAACAAGATGGCGGTGTGCAGCAGTCTGACAACTCTCTTAGTGGCTTGGCTATTCCCATGCATATTTCCTGACTGTATATAGTACTTCCTACTGGCTCCTTTTGTAAATATATATTCTTATTTGTCATTTTTTATGTGTATTTTGCACCACTGGAGTTGACTTTTAATTTCGTTGTACTCTGTGTATGATGACAATAAAAAGCATTCTATTTTATTCTATTCTCAAATTGGATCACTAGCTTTTAAAAATGTAAACTTACCTTCCCTGAACCACTTTGATCAGATTTTGTTTTTTAGCAATGACAGTGAGTTTGGTTAAAAACTCGAACAAGTGGTCGCACTGCATAACTAGATCCCCCTGAAACAACCAGAGTAAAATACAATCAGACAAAAGGGCCCCGTGATAGAAACTTCTACTGAAAATTCTGTGTACAGTAGAAGTCACAACTTTGCATGTGCGGTTCGATTCTAAAAAAGTCCAGATATCTGCTCCATATCACACATCCACATACCTTTTGTTTAGGGTCTTCACATGTTATATGGAACACAATGATACCGTCAGTCAAGTTACTGACTGAAATCCCTGCAATAAGTCAAACAACGAATACATTTAGTCAGAACGTCCACAATGGCTGGTAAAATATGCACTATCACGCCGGTGTGACCTTTGAGCGAGGTGTACAGCACTCTCTGTTTGATCTTGGCTTCTTCTACTACATAGGCAGCTGTCTGGGTGAGGATGAGCTGTCTGGGTCTTGGTTTGAAGCCGTTCCTGTCATACTTTATCACTGGAACGCTGTACTGCAGAAACACAGAGCACAAGTTCAGTGAGGGATCCTGAATTGCCCCCCACTATAGTGCAACTTTCTTACCTTAATGTGCTCGTTGCGAATCATCTGGAGAACCCTCGTGTTTATTTCTTGTTCACCTAGAGATATTCAGCGGTGTAAATATGATACGTCAAAAATAAAATGGCCCTAAGTGAAGATGTCTGACACTCACTGATTCTGGTGTCCACAAAAGGCTGAGCGACACTCTGTGGATAACTGTCCTTTTTGCCCTTGAAGATGGAGCTGGTGGTAGCCTTCAGTTGAAGCTGAAGTGATGAATAAGGGGGGGGGGGGAATATACACATAATTACTAACTTGAAAAACATATCAGTTCAGTCTCAATGCGTTCGAGGTGTCTTGCCTGTGCTTTCCTCTGGGGTGTGATTCCTCTCACATACTTCCGCACCATGAGGCGGTAGTGAAGCGTACGCAGGATCTCTGAAGTCTAAAAAAAAGAGCAAAATCATCCATCAAGCTATTATCTATACACCGACTAATCCTCACTAGGGTCGGCAGTCCATCACAGGGCTACACTGAGAGACAGACAACCAAGCACATTCACACCTACACACAATTTAGAATCACCAAGAACCCATGCTGCACAGAGAGAACATGCAAACTCCACACAGAAAGATCCCGGGTGTCCTCACCGGGATGCAAACCGGCAACCTTCTTGCCTGCAAGGCAACGGTGCTAACCACCAATCCACCTTGCAGCCCCCAGAGCAAAATCATGCAGGGTGAAGTCACAACTTGCGTTCAGTCATTTTTGTAGTAAGTAAATTAAATATTGTACCTCTGCCATCACAACTGGTGGAGTCAGCCAGGTGGTTTTATCCAAAACCGTCTTTGGCAGATTGTTTTTAAGTCTGCTCAAGTAGCTCTGTCTCACAAAGGCCAGGTACTCCGAGTTATCCGTGTTCTTTGCTTGCCCTCTGGTCATGTAACCTTTGATAAATCTGAAATAGTTTGTAAAATAGTGTATCAGTAAAACCATAGCAGTAACCTTGAAGGGAATGGTTCAGCTTTCACCTTCTTCCTTACTTCTTGATGACTTTCACGGCCCAGGCTCTCTTCTCCTTCTCCTTCCTCGCCTGCACGCCTCTCCAGCAAGTTTCAATCTTAGTGGCTGAGGATGTCAAAAATATATTTTAAAAAAAAAAGGTTGGGTAACTTTTTATTTCTCACATTAAAAAAAACAGCATTTTGTGGTGGCATTTACCGGCTTCTTTCTGTTTTTTGAATTCTCCCTTTTGTCTGTACCCTTTGTATTTGGCCTGGAGTCGTGTTGCTGTGAATTCAATGCATAACATTAAATCGCTGTGCAGCTCGTGATGACTGAAGGCTTTTAACATTTGATTTGTGCTCACCCAGTTCATGTTTGCATTTCTCATAAGCATCCTCTGTGGCATAAAGTGTCCTGGGATGACGGATGAATATTTTGGTTCTATAAGCAAAACACGAGAACTATTATTTCTGTTATTCTTGGCTCACAGTGCATTCGCTCAGTTGACTTAGAAAGCTGTCCTCACCTTCCCATTCTGTACTCATCTGGCAGGTAGCCCAGATGTTGAACCAACACTTCCACTCCATCAGCAGGTTCTCCCCTCCAGTGTGGCCAGGTGGCTGGGCACAGGGGTTTATATCTGTAAGATGAGCCCAACAAACCCCTGAAGCATGTTAGAAATGTGCTGGAAGAGAGCTTGAATTTCAAAATCAAGTATAGACACTTAAACAGCTTTATGGTCCTTCGCACCTCTTTAAGAACACATCAAATTTGCGTCTGTAAGCAAAACCAGCTCGTCTGACTCTGAGGTGCTCCATCAGGCCCAGATACTTCACCTGGTGCCTGATCAGCGCTTCGTCGAACTGACCTGTGATCGTGTGACAGAGGCAAGGATGGTTTAGTTCAATTCAAACGTCTCCATCTTGTTAACGTTAACCTCATATTAATTAACGTACCTGGCTGCTTGGACTCATTAGATTTCAGGCAACGTATGTACCAGGCCTCTTTAGCCATGAGGATCTCTGTCAGCTTCAGCAGGCTGCTCTTAAACTGGGTCGCCACCTACAGACACAACATGAGGGTCATAATCCCCAACAGCTCATCTGTCAGATACATATGGCTTATTGATGACACTGTCAGACTGCTGCTGACACACACACACAAAAAAGACCTACTGTTTCTGGTCTTTTCCTGCTGTCTGGATCCATGGTGGAGAAGCACTCTTTGACTATGGCATTCTTAGACTGACACATCAGCTATGAGAAGGTGGGAAAGGACATTTACAAACACTGCAGTGCCTATGAAAAGTGTTAACCCCCCTTCGAAGCTTTATCTGTTTATTGCTTTTTAACACTGAAGCATGGTATATTCATTTTGGCCTATTTACGTTTGAGTTGAGTTTTTCATGCCAAAGTTGAAACAGATTTCTTCAAAGCAACATCAATTAATCAACAGTATAAAACATACACTAAGTGATTGCGCAAGGATTCCCCCTTTCAGGTCAGTATTTAATAGATGCATCTTTGGCTGCCATTACAACATTGAGCCTGTGTGGATTGGACTCAATCAGCCTTGCACCTCTTGACACCGCAGTTTTGTATCATTCTTCGTTGCAAAGCTGCTCAAGTTCTATCAGGTTACACAGGGATCGTGATTGAACAACACTTTTCAAGTACAGCCACAAATTCTCAGTTTGATTGAGGTCTGAGCTCTGACTCAGCTGCTTCACAACATCCACATTGTTATCTTTAAAGCATTTCTGTGTGGCTTTGACTGTATGTGCGTAACTGATCACCTCCTTTAAAGTGACTCACCCTATTGAACACAGGTGCTGCCAACTTGTGCTAGAAGTCACACAACAAGTGAACTGGAGATCATCTGAGTGCAGAAAATGTGTCTCAAGTGACTGTATTATAAAGACACCCGAATCTGGAAGGTTGAGTCACTGGTGAATCAGTACTTGTGGCTGTAACTAGACCATGAAGACAAAAGAACAATTCAAGCAACTCTGTGAAAAGATTGCTGAAAAGCACAAGTCAGGGGATGGATACAAGAACATTTCTAGGTCGCTGAATATCCCTTGGAGTACATTTAAATTCGTCATTAAGAAATGGCAGGAATCTGCCTTCATCTGCCTAGAGTAGGCCGTCCTCAAAAGCTGAGTTACGGTGCAAGAAGGAGATGAGTGAGAGAGGGCATCGAGACATGTATGACTCCTCTGATGGAGTTACAAGCTTCAGCAGCAGAGATGGGAGAAACTACACACAAACAGCCTGTTCTTGATGAGTCAAAGCTTTATGGGGATGTGGTAAAGAGAAGGCAACTGCTGAAAAAAGCTCTTTTTTCAAATCTGGCCATGAGACTAAACGCTATGTTTGGTGGACACAACACACTGCATATCACTGCAAACACACCATCCCCAAGCAGGATGGTGGCATCATCAGTATGTGGAGATCCTTCTTGGCAGCAGGCCAAATAGCAGTGTCTAGATATGCAAGGCTGATTGAGTCTTATCCACACAGGCTTAATGTTGTGCCTGTGGTCAAAGGTGCATCTACTAAATACTGACTTGAAGGGGGTGAATACTTATGCAATCACTAATTTTGTATTTTCTATTTTTAATTAATTGACATTCATTCTGGTACGTTCTTGCCCAAAAGCCCAATTTTTTGAGCACGATTCAATGTTGAAAAGCAATGAAAGAGGCTAATTTCCAAGGGAGCTAATGCTTTTCACTGTAATTTGCAAAACACCAAGCACTCCCCTTTTGCATATTTGCAATAATCAAACTAAAAGAACTCTCATCTCCACCTTTGCTAATATTAAGAACAAAATTGCAGACTTACATCTTTTATATTCCTGTATAGCAGGTCATTATTTTTGTCCAGGAAACCTATAATGTCACAAAAAAACACACACATTTAGCATCATAGAGCTGTCAGTTCAAACTGAAATGGTTTAGATGTTTGAGTAACAGAGTCTTAGACTGTGGTTCCTTTTACCCACAACACAGTAGGTGACCTCCCCAGCATAATGCAAGAGACGGAAATCTCCCCTCTCCAGAGTCTTACGTGTCATTTTGTCAGCCAGTTTGTGCCTGCAGTCAAAGAGGTGGAGAGAGACAGAGGGATGAGGAGTGAGAGGCTTTACAGACCAATCCTAATCCTCCATCTCTATCGGCTCACTGTCGACTCACTCACAGGACACCAGTCGGCAGAGCAGCGATGAAAGAAGGCAGTGTTGAGGAAAAGCTTTGAACTGGACGGTATCATTTAGATGGACATTAAGTCAGCTGGTTGATTACAACATGTGTACATGAAAACGTTGAGAAAAAAAATAATTTTCTGCTTTTATCATATGTAAAGCTCTTTTAGCACATCTGTTTTGAGAAATATTCTGTAGGTGTGGGTTTCAACTTACGTGACAAAGTGGGGGTGGTTTCCCATTTTATCTTCTAGTCTCTCCAGGAAGGTGAGGTCTGTAGCATCTCCTGGCCTGAGACACTCCTCATCCTGCAGGAAAATCATCGATTATGTATCAGTAATGTGTGTGGGATTCTTTTTTTTTTAAGTTTTACTTGAAAGAAACGGCAGTCCTGTCCTGTAGGTCCACACCAGTATTGATATGATTCCTCTGTGTTTCTCCTCAACCAGGTCACAGATGATCTTGTTGTTGAAGAACTGAACCGGCTCCCACTGGGAGAAACGTGATGAAATAGGTTGTAATTTGATCTCTGTTTAAAGCAAATGAATGTAAACAATGGCTGATTTATTTTTTCCCCAGGTCACCTCAATATCTTCTGCTTCATACTCTTCCTGCTCAGCTTTCAGTGTCAGCTGGATAAAAAGCTGCTGCAGCTTCTCATTGCAGTAGTTTATACAGAACTGCTCAAAACTGAGGAAAGGGGTAAAGAAAAGGAACGCAAACTTGGAGTTTTTACAACAAATATCAGGGAAAACAAAAGTCTTTAGCCGTTAGCAGGACATCAAATAAGATTACCACTTACCTGTTTGCATAGAAAACCTCAAACCCATATATGTCCAAAAGCCCTATGACAGTCTTCCGTGATGGGTCCTAGCAGAAAACAGCAACAATAAAATAAGTATGAAGTAAGTAAACCTGGGATTCCTCAGTTCTCACACCCCATTATCCTCACCTTGTTCTCCATTGACTCATTGATCCTGTTGACCAGCCAGGTGAAGGTCTGTCCATAGATGGCTTTGGCCAGGGCGTCTCTGGCATAGATGGCGTGATCAGTTGTGAATGGTGTGAGGACCTTTACAGTGAGACAACATCATAGCTGTATTTCAAACACTATATGGAAAGCTTAGATAAAAACACAACCTCATCACTGGAAAAAAAAAAAAGTTTCAAGAGGTGTCAACCTGATCTTTTTTGGCTTCAATCTTCCTGAATGTTAGTCCCTCTTGGAGACTCTGGGCATCCACGCCTAGCAGCTGTGAAGAAAAATAACATGAAGTGTACTCCTATGCTTGCTGGACATCTGAAGAATTACTTTTTCTAGTTTCTTACATCTGAGACCCAGTGCAGCTCTCCATTGTTGTCCAGGAGGGCATGGCCTTTACTGTCAGACTCGAACTGAACGTTCCCCAAGTGAAGAACACTTGCAACGATTCCTAACAAGTGCTGCACAGAATCATCATTTTATTATGAATATTGCAAAACTTGTAATCAAGAATGACTGGTGCAATTCAGGGCAACTGCAATAGCATCCAACTTACGTTAGTGTCAATCTCATCAAAGTTGATGACTTGCAGTGCATTTTTGACTGTTTTCCAGTCGTTATGGTCGTTAATGGAAGGAACAATGGCACACTCTCCCTGTCAGAAACAATAAACATCCAAACAAAGTGTCAGTGTACTATTTTCTATAAATCTGTCTTATCCAAACAGGCTCACTAGAAGCTATGCATACTTGGGTTAGATAGTTGTAATGCTGGACGTCTCTCTCCAGGCCCAGCTTGTGCAGCAAGTCATCTGCTCCTCCGTCCACCAGCTGATAGAAGATGTGGAAGTTTCTCTCCCCGTGATTCTGATGCACAACCCTTGACTTCTCCAGCAGGTAGTTCAGGATATGGCCTCCGACAGCATCCCCCTATGGGCATCATGATCCTAAAGACAGCAGCTCTACAACTTGCAGAAAAAACATAGCCTATGGTCCAGTGGCCAGATTTAAAACCTTTTAGGATAAAGTATCTCCTTCTTACAAGCTACTAATTCAGTTCTGTAAAAGGGAAATAATGTGCAAGTGTTGTTAATGTTCCTCTTTTTTTTCTTTGGAGCTGTAATTTTCACTAATTAAATTTGTTCTCTTTTTAAACTTCACATGTTTTTACCCCTGAGTTACGACTAAGCTTACCATTTTTATTTACTACATGTCTTTTATAATTAAAAAAAAGCAACAAATCCTACTCTAATCAACCAAACCCAAATTATCATACAAAAGAAATGCACCCTGAGTAAAAACTTTTGTTGTCAACTTACAATTTTGTCACACTTGTTTCTTTTTAGTAATTTTTTTTAAATCTATCTCTAGAGCACTTCTGTGAATCTGCTATCTAACCCTTACCTCGCTATTAAACTGAATGTCCATATACTTCCCGAACCGACTTGAGTTGTCATTTTTTAGTGTTTTGGCATTCCCGAAAGCCTGCAGGAAAACACAAGTCATGTCATTCCGAATGACTAACGTTAGCAAGACCTGCTTTGTGGCATGTTATTGCACTATATATATTATTAACACACCTCCAGGACAGGGTTGGACATGAGCATTTTGTCTCTGACAGTGTTTAGTAGAGTGGTGCTGGGACAACTGACAGCATAATACTGCAGGATCTTCTTGGAGGCTTCTGTTTTCCCTGCTCCACTCTCACCAGAAATGAGGATGAAGTGATTGTTGAACTCTGTCAGCATAGTCTGGTAGGCATTATCTGCTAAGGCATAGCTGTGGAGACGCAGAGCAAACATAATATTTCAAAGGTGATAAACTTAATTTAATTAAGAGCATTTCAGAGTTTAAGTCCCTTGTTTGTACAGACGGGTGATAAATTATAGGAAAAACCAACAAAGAGTATATTAGGAAGGCAATGGGCGACCATGTGCTGCCAGAACAGGCTCAATGCACCTTTAGATTGATTCTCCAAGTGTCTGGACTGTGCTGAAGGGATGATCACCATTCTTCCTCATTTAGTTTTTTGATGGTGGTGGTTCAGAGCACTGTCCAAAAT